CAAATAGTTATTTCAAGACAAAGAACATTTCAAAGACTATTGGCTTATTTGCTTTGCTCTTAATTTTTTGAAGAATGTGTTCATTTTTGTCATTGGAATTATGAAAGAATTATATTGTCATAACCAATTAATCACAAGATTTCATAACTTGTACTAAAAGCTATGAACAATTTATTCATTCGAGATCATGATATACATCATGCTCCAGCACGTGATATAATTTTCATAGGTATATAATTAATAATAAAAAAAAATTAAATAAAAATAAAAAATAATAATAAAAAAAAGTATCCTATCATTACCAAATTGTTATTAGAGAACATGGTTTGTTTGATGTGTTAAACCTTTTCCACATAAATAAGTTACGTCCTTTTACACAATTTATAAATTTGAAAGAAACAAATTCAAAGGTAAGAATATCATAAGCCTTAATTTATCTCTTTAATAGCAAAAAATTTATCTCTTTGATAGCAAAATGGTAAATAAATAAACAAGATTATCTAGTAAACATTGCAATTTTGTAATTATATCAACTACTGCTATTGTAGAGCTTATATTGACAATTTTGTCATGCAATAAACAAAATTTGTCTATCAAGTCAAGGTGAATGATAAACTTGTATTTTCTCGAATATCACACAAATTACCAACTCAAATGAATTAGAAAAATATTTCAAAAAAAAAAAATTAGAAAAACATACAATATGGCCGGGAGAAATGCGAAGGATGGTAGTGAGGGCGGAAGCAAGTTTGCCGCATCGTCGACGAGTGTCTCTTCAAGTGTACCGTAAACCACCGTAGACGACGGAATTCCGGTGAGTAAACACCTTAGCGGAGCGTTCGAGAAAGGTGATTGGATTCAAAGGAGTATAGTTCGCCGGACATCTCATCAAACCATCCAACTTTTGCCATGACGGACCGCCTCCACCTTCCTCTCCGCCGCCACTTCCACCGCTACTAGTTGTGCTAAAGGTGGCTGATTTTTTAGAACATACATATAAAAACTTAGGCTTATATCTAGACTTGAATAAGTGGTTTAAGAAGTGATTTTTATTGAAATTGAGGTGTTAAAAGATTTTATCCAAAGAAAGGTGGGGTAGAGAAAGAGCGGAACTAAGATGCAACAAAGTGCGTAGACCTTGATTTGTTTAATTTTTATCGTTGTTGTAAATAATAAGAAATAGAGCTATTAATTTAATTTAGCTTCTTAGCTTCATGCCTAATTCTTAGGACATAACATTATTTTAATACTTTCTCCGTATCTAAATAGTTGTTATTTTTGACTTTTTTTTCCCTCAATTTTAACCATTTTTTTCGGTTACTATCTCAAATAAAATTTCCCTCCATGTTTTTCAAGTGTTACATTTATCAAATAATGCCGTATTTTTTTTAAGTATTACACTTCTTTTTTACCAAAAAGCTACATTATAATATGAGTATATCTCTCCTCTCATGGCCTTATCCAAATCCATTAATTCTTTTTTTATTCTTTTTTTCCTATCATATTCATTACTTTTCAATAAACTATCAACTTCATTATCTTTCTTTTACAATTTTTTAATACTATAACTACCTCATTTACTTCTTATTTTATATAACTTGATTAATTTGCCTAAAAATATGTACAAGTCAAAGTGTAACACTTAAATAAACACAGAGGGAGTAAATAAGTTGTTGGATTTATCTTAATATATATTATTAGAATATAAATTTGAAAACAATAGTTGCGTATGTCCTATTCAAAGATGTTTAATTTTAAGAAGTTGTAGGGCATGTAACGATTTGTGATTGATTTTACCACTACACTCTTACTTAAAATTGATTGTTTGAAAGAGTATGTGAACTCATGATTATTCATTGAATTGATAATTTGTAAAAAAAAAAAAAAAAAAAAAAAAAAAAAAAAAACATCATTAACCAGCTCGATGTACACAATTCACATAACTTTCACTAGTGCATGAATAAAAAAAGTTTATAGGTACATTCTATTAGATCAAATGTAACTGTATTATTCCGCAGTATAATTCTAAGATGTAACCTTCTAATGTAACGTTAAACAATCAATCATCAAGGTCATAAAAACAAGGCAATTATAGGGAATGGAAAAAATTAATGTAATGCCAAAAGGCATGTAACCATTTTATAGGAGTGTTTCTGTAATCTTACTTTTAGAATATGTATTTATCAATGAAAATTGAATTTGAATACGATGTGATATTCAGAAACAAATTAAACAAGAAGATCTTGGTATGTTTGGATATAAACAAGCTAAGTTATCTTTTAATGAACCCATTCTGTATTGCACCCTTCAGTGGGACGTCTACAGGAGGAAGCATGCTGGTCCTAGCATTTAAATCATACTAGGAGTACTCTATTCTTTTGAAATTTTGTTCTTGCATATTATTGTTGAAATACTAATCATATTATATGTACGTAAGGGTAGTTTTTATATCTTGTATGAGACGGTTTTACTATAATTTAAACAAAATAAAAGTGTCAATTTTTCTTACTAGTAGTTCATACTTTAGTTATAAAAAAAAAAGTTACTTTTAACGCCTCATAATAAGCACTATAAGTCAACTTTACTTTAAAGTTGTTGATCATCGGGAATTAATTGGTTGGAGACCATGTAAGTCATTAATCACAAGTAACTCAAGTTGGAGACAACGTAAGAACACAAGTAATCTGTATGAATTTTGAAATTTATGTTCAAGAATACTCCGTAGAATGATATCCAAAAACATAAGCTACTCGTAAATATTGAAATTTTGACAATGTAAGTCACCCGTGTATGTGATGATTATATTGCGAATTATTTTCATCTAATTTGTTAGATAAAAATATTATTAACTTGTACTAATAATTTCATACATTTTTTATTTCATTATTGTCAATGCGATACGAGTATATTGGAAAAAATTATCCGTCAAAGTTTGAATAAACTTCCAACCAGAAAAAAACATGTTGTACAATCAATATTGAAACCTTTCGTAGAAAACTCCAAATAACAATTTTAGTACGGAGTAAATGTTATTCTATGGTCAAGAAAAAACATACTCCTATATCACATAGTAAGAGTAATAAAAACTATCATGTATTAAATGTATACTATGTAGGAAGTATATTTCTCACACACACACACAAAAAAAAAAAAAAAAAAAAAATAAAAAAAATAATTACATACAGATAGAAAGTAAATATACAAAAAAAAGTGAAATAGTTAAGGAGGTCCAAATTAATATAGGCATTAAAGGAAGGCATGAACTTCTTAACTACTCAAAAATAAAAACTTCTGGAATTATATCTTAATGTTAAAGTTAATTACAATTTTGCCGCTGTGGGAGCCTAAAGAGATCTCTATTAATCTATTATAAGGGCCGAAGAAAAGGACAAGTGCTGAAATTGAATATTTGTAATTCTATGAAAATTAGTTGGACACCATTTATATACAAGTATGTCTCAAATCTGTGATACTAAGCTGCAATTTTGTAAGCATGTTTGTTTTTCAGACAAAGATACTGCCATTTTAAATAAATTTTATTTAATTTTTAATTTGAAATTATTTAATTATAATACTGTATATATATTTTTTTGGGACACAACTACAACCACCCCACCCTCAAAAATTAAAAAAGACTGGCTAAGAAATGAATGCACAATCTCACAATGTCTGACCTCCCACTTGGATGTGGCTTTACCAAGAAAACAACAGCCCTTTTTTCTCAGATTTTATCCTGAATTTTACATATATATTGCAGAAAGGACCATTTTTTTTTCAAAAAAATAAAAATTTACTCATAATTGACTTAATTTATTTTTTGATAAAAGATGGATGATTGGCAAATCATGACAGGATTATGTAAGAAGCGATAAAAACAAGGGCCTTGGCTGATAGTCGAGTGTAAATAATCATGAGAATTTGTTTTTCAATATCGATTTGCTAATTTGCAAGATATAATTATGGAGGCAGGTTTATTACAGAAGTATGAACATACATCATAGACATTACTTTAGCATTTTTTTTGTGGCATTTTCCTGTTCTTGATTAATGTTGCATCATAGGAGCATTACTATTAAAGTATTAATAGCAGGACTACATTACAATCTTTCATACAATGCATTACCAAATGTAGCACTAATACTACATTTCTTTGGAGAGCTAACACAAACAAGACTTTCAAATCTGAAACATTTTAGAAGTTAAAAGAGATGTAAAAATCTGTTTGGCCATTCTAAGTTAAACAACATTAGTTGTGATTCAATCATCAAACATGTCGCCGATGCCACAAACATATCAGGCCTAGAAGGGGTAGAACCACCACAAGAAGGCGGTACCAATGATAAGTATAAATTAACAAGACGCTCAACTATGGAAAACAAACAGCAGCTAAGGTAAATGAGATATCCCAAAAATAAGATGTCATAGTCAAAAACAAGGACAACATAGCACCTAAAACTGGGAATTAAAAGGACCACAAATATAACAGATAGTATATTTTTTTTTAAACATAGAAGTAATCTCGTGACTGCTTCAACAACTAACAGTTGGGTTTTGGGTGTCCTACAAAACCAAATTTTATCATCAAAAGCTTTGAGGAAATCAAGAGTTAGCTTGCTACATTAGTTGACAAATCGGTACTATAATTTGTCTCAAATCAGGCAGTATAATTGATGATGTTGAAGAGTCAATTAGAGCAGCTGTCACAAAGATCTAATTTCAAACTCATAAACAAAACTAGACATTCCAAAATATACTGAATTAAGGTACAATTAACAAACAAAAATGTAAGGTAGTTAGGAGCATAGTTAAACAACTGGCACCGAATGTGCAGTAGGGACTCAGAAGTAAGAACACCTTAATACCTTGTCATATGGTTGCTATAACAGGATGACGCGGCATTTTACAGTTTGTCAAAAGCTTTAGACTCTGCTTTTCACTGTGAGTTGCACAAATAAAACTGCATCAGTTAACAATTTGGAAAAAGATGCACGCACAAAGAATAACAGGTCAACCAGATGATGCATTACGAAGGAGAGTCTATACAGCAGTGGTCAATGCCAGTGATTGTTAATTTAGAACAAAATAGCAGACCACTTCTTGGGAGTTAGGGATTGAGATTAGGATTACATTACACAAGTTTAATATCCAGTAGGTAATGAACAAGTTGAGGATTGTCTCAATCATACACGAGGATATAAAATTAGACAAACTGTACCAAGCTAATCAACCGCCTCGCATGTGGGCACCTAATTCACCAAAATCATCAGCATCCACGGTGTCTTCAGGAAGCCGAACTGCATCAAGCTTCTGTTTTAGGACATCAATTGCATTGAGTAATAGTTGAGGAGCCTTGACTGCACCAGTAGACTCAACTGTGAATATAAAACTGTCCTCTTTCGGGTAAATCTCTACAAGCCCGGACTTTCCCATAGCTTCGGCTTTCTTAATCACCTCATCATCATAGGTATAGGCCTCAGGATCAACTACAACTACCTGTAAGATGGGCAAAACAAATATACATTGTGTTCAGTATAGGCACCCCGCACCACATTATTGTTCATATCTTGAAATATGAAATGCATGCATGGAGTCTAAATATGAAAATAGACACAACCACAATGCTATCTAGTTAAACCTGTTGGCCTATTAAGATCATAACATAGTCGGATTACACCTCAAAACACATCCTGTTCCAACTGGACCACTTGATCAAACATTACACTTCTACAAACAACTTAGACATTAGACAGGTTAGCTTATAACGATTCACAGATCAAAGCTTGTATCACCATCAGTATTTATAGACCATCATACTAAGCCCATAATAAATTGACTGGTAATAGACCTTATCAACTCTTCTGTAATTCCATCCCCTGGCTAAATTAATCTGTGCACACATATCAATCCAAGGAACTTAATATCAGAATTATGCTCTCCACCAAGGATCTTTGGGGAAGTGATCATGGTTATATACTTATATTCATTATAGGGAGGTTACAAGCGTATATACAGCAATACTCTGCATGAATATATTATGTGATTCAAAAGGCTTTTACACTATGGACCTATGGAATACTTAGCTTGCCATGCCATGTACTACCTCCATTACTTTTTAGTTGCAACAAAAAATAAATTTATGTCTCACAAAAAATACTCCTTTGTCGCATCAAAAAAGTAACGGAGGTAGTATCTTAAATGGCTGAGATGGCGGGATTTTACATTAACAGATAAAAAGGGGTTTCAAAGTAGTGATGGAATTTCAATCAGATAATATTGTAGTTTATGATACAAGTAAGCCCTGTACATAAAAAGACTCCATACAACAGGGAACTAGAGGATAAAGATACATCTACGCATAATGAAATTCTTTTGGTACAAATGGCAAATTAAGAGGGTCATAGAAACAGCTAGCAAAACCAAGGTAGGGAATGAAAACATCTCCATAACAATCTCAATATATAATCGCGTAGCTGAAAAGCAAGTAAACGAAATTCGAACTTAAAAAACTCTATCACTAACCATGCTCTGCACAAGAGGCCTAGTAATAAGCATGTTGTAAAACACCAACAATTTTGAATTCTTTGCCATCTAATATTGCTCCATTTCACAAGGGGGTCAAGAGGGTATTCCATTCTCATCAACATATGACAAAACTGATCTCTCAGAAATAACCCCATCCAACCCCAATAGTTTCCTTAAATCATATTTTTTGACTACAGTAAAATTCTATTTGTGACCTGAAAAAAAATATCAGCAAAATCTGCCTTAAAAGTAAGACACAACTTATAACATAAACTCAACAGAAGCAAAATGATACAATCAAGCCAGTAAATTCAATGAGATGCCAACCTGTTGAGTATTAGGATCAATGTCAAAGACTTTAGTAGGACTGCTTTCAACCCACTCTTTCTTTTGTTCAAGTGACAATGATTCCATCATATCCTCATTGATGAGAATCTCCGGCTCATACATAAAGGTTACTGTAGCAGCAGGAGACCATTTGGCATGATCTTTTCCAATGCCTTTTCTAGCTATTGCTCTAAGCTTCAACTCTTGACCTTTACGTAACTTCACAATTATGATTCCTCTGCATAACACCGAAGACCAAAAGAACCTCAGTAACAAGATTAAATATACAAAGTATGCAAAGATATTAGTTCATTCGTGCCAATGAAAACATAGATCATCAAGGCACAGCACGGGAATCTCAAAGAACAAAGGGAAGACAACCTATGTTTTGGAAGGACCTTTACAAAACTGAAGAGAAAACCTCTTATCAAAGATACCAAAACAGCAATCAGAGAAGGCAGCATTGGTGAGAATAGAACAAAATCAATCTAATCTTTTACAATATGCTACAGATTGCTAATTCTATTAGTTGCAATGTCAAGGGGATGAATTTAGGAGATTAGAGAGATAGAGGGAGATAATAAGGGATAATATGAGATGAGGAGACAGAGTCATAGGTTACAAAGTAATGTTGCAATTAATTGCAACTTCCCTAAAAGGAATAGTTGCGATTAAGATAAAACAGAGGAAGTACATAATTTACCCTTGAAAAATCAGTTATCTACCTTCACCACTAATCAAAGCAAGACGTATTCATGTCCTTGCATGACTTATGATTTACCACTCTCTAGTATATACATAATCCGCTAGTCATTTATACAAGGCCAAAATTTGAGCTGGAATACAACCTAAATCAAATATGAAAAACCCTTCTTGAGTGGTCTCTGGTAAGGGGTATGACTGAGAATTAACCCCTCCCCCCCCCCCCCCCCAAAAAAACTCCATCAATGACATGATTTAAGCTTGATGTAGTTTTTATAATGAAAAAAGTAAATCCTCCAGTTAAAATTCCTTAAAGTCCACAATCTTTCTAATGCACGGATGTATCGAACATCATACAGACAAACACAGCAACGTAGGACAGTGTTGTCATTTACGTTTGATGGGAATGTTTCAACACTGCCATTGTCCATTCACATTTCTTCAAAAAATGTTTCTTTGAGAGTACCCAGAAGTCCAAAACATTTTCTCCATCTTTCTCAACTCTTTAGTGGTAAGTTAAGCTAGGATCCAAAAATCTGAAACTAGGATTCAAAATAGTTGCTATTACAGCTCACTGTACACTTCTTGCATTTAATTCAACTTGCATTGCATGATTTATACATGCAGTAGCAAAACTGACCACACTCACGAGATCCAATGTAGGCATGATATATCTACTAATAGACTTATACATCCAACACACACATGATAAATTTATAACCTGCTGTTCTACCTCTAAACCCTCTTCCTCAAGAACTAACATCTAGCACACCCATTGATAAGCCCCTAATCACATTAAAATCTCTCATTCATATTAAGACAATATTCCTTCTAAAGTGTTTCAGTAAAGTGTATGGCTATGAAATTCTAAACCACCATATCCCCTGCTAATAACGGGATCTAAACTTGCTAAAAGAAAATCCAACCATTCCAACTTATATTCCACGATTTTTTTTCCCCATGTATGGAACTATTAAACAATATGCACGAGTGCATATTGAAAACATGATTTATCGTTTTACTACAATGCTATTGTTTTTTTTTTTTTTCAATATTGTTCTCTGCAATGGATCCAAGTACTTTCTTCAAATTTTCTCATTGAGGGTGATCAGAACATCTCTGGTTTTCTTGACCTTTTAAAAGTAAAATAGCAACGGCTAAAAACATCTCAAATTTGCATCTGAACCAAAAAGTAACAACTAACTGCCTAATTCTAGATCATTTTGTAATTATATTACAGAATTGCATGTTGCATGAGTTAACTCTAGCCCTAACCAGTTCACTTTCTCACTCTCTTCCTCTCACACCAAAGTAACTGTTCCCTTTCAAGCTTCTTCCTAAGAGAAACCAAATCATCAAACACTCATAGATAATTTCCAAGTAGATTAGAACAAAGTTAGCATAAACTTCTAAACATCTTCTAAGATTCTAACATTTATTATTCAATTTAGCCCATAAGAACAAACAACATCCTGCCCATTATTGCCAATTGTGACTTATCCCATTAGTCAAATGCATCACAAAACACGTTCTTAATCCAATCAGAAGAAACACAACTAGCAATCCAAATCCCACTAATTTTCTCCCTTTACTCATAATCCCCTTCTCAGCTTCTCTACTCCGCCACCTCACTACCTCATATAGTCAAATATACCTCACTATGCTCAAATCCCTAATAATAGGCCAAAAAATTCAACTTTAGCCACCAAAAACCTAGAACTAATATAACCAAAATGTTTTCCAACTCCAAAAGTATGCATGGATTCCAAGCTACTCACTAATTCCAAATTACAAGCAATCACAGCACGCATAAGGGTTGAGAAAATCCAAAGCCTAGCAATTCAAAACCCAGAATAATGAAGAACTAAATATGCAATCACAGAAAGTCCAAAACCCTAACAATTCTAAAATGCACAATCCTAAAAAGGGAAAAATCGTTTCTTTCAACAAAATACCAGTAATCAAACAAAAATTAACAACAAAACAAAGAAATTTTGATAAAAATTGACGAAAAAATACCGATTATCAGTAGCATCATCAGAAGCAGGAGCCTCAGAGAAATCAACAGGAGTAACAGTATGATCAGAACTCAGCAAATCCTTGCTAGTAACATCTAGCGTTTGATCACCAATACACTTAGCCCGAAGATGGAACTCCACCGAGCAATACTCGCACTGCCCATCACCGTCGCAAGCGTCGCAGTCGCGGGAGAAGCGCATGGCCATCGCACGCTCGCTGACAAGAGGGATGAGGCCGAGACGGTGAGCGATGAACTCGTCGTTGAGAACGGAGGAGTTAACTTCGATTTCGACGAGATCGACGGCGACGGTCGGAACTTCGGCGATCATAACGCGGCGAAGTGCATTGGCGACGCTGGAATCGGTTTTCTTGAGCTCGAATTTCATGAAATCATCTCGCATTTCTCGGATTTTGATTTGGGGGAAACGTTGGTAGGAGATGCCCTCCATTGTTAGGGTTTAAGAGGTTTTTGATAGTAGGGTTTTTGCGAGGGAGAGAGAAAGAGGAAGCCTAAAACCCTTTGCCTGAGTGAGTGTTCGGGGTTTGGGAGAGTGGAAGAATAAATTTTGTTTAGGCTGGTAAAAGATTAAATAAAAATAGTAATTAAAAATATTTATTACTAGGAGAATTAATCCTAACTCTGAGGGCTTGCTTGGATTGGGAAATGTATTACTAGGATAATAAAAGTCAAACTAAGCAAAATAAAAGTGAAAACAGGGAAGTCATACTATCTTTTATCCTATGCATTGTACGAGTTCAAAATTAAATTTCAATGTTTACATACAAGTAAACTTTCTCGTTTGATTGTTGAGATATATTACCTCTTACAAACTGAAAATTGTATAATACACCAGGGCTCATGGTGCACCTGGTGATGTGGCATAACTAATTAGCATTAAATTAGTGGAAAATAAAAAAAATAAAAAATTCTGGGCGTAATTATAGGGAATTATTCCCTTTAAACTACTTTCAGTTTTAAATTATTATCTTTAATGGACATTTTCAATTTTTTAAAACATTTTAAAGACATTTTTGGGTTTCAATAATACAAAGTATGTTTTTTAATTTTGACTCTTATTTTCTTTGAGGTAACGAGTGACGTACAAATTCTTTTTTGAATTATCATATATCATTATTTTTTATTATCGTATGTTATTTGAATTTGATCAGTGTGTTCTTCAAGTATGAATTATATGTTCTTTACATTATATTTATGCTATTTTAACATAAGTTATTTTGAATTTTAAAATTTAATTTGAAAATTAAATCTTGGTTTTTTCTTAGTTGAAAATATTTTAGAGAGAGAAAACTAAAATTATTATAGAAAGTTAATTTTTGGAGAGAGAAAAAACATTTTTTGAGAAATGATATCTTTGGTAAAGATTTTTTCCGTCAATGTGTAATTTTTCATAAAATTTTAATAAAATTTTTATCGCATTCTTTTGGTAATGTCTTTATGTTCTTTAATAATGCATGTTCTTTGTTAAACACAAACATGTTCTTTTTAAAAAACCTGTATGCTCTTTTTCAAACAGTTAAATGTTCTTTCTGCCTTTTTTTTATTTAACCAGGTGCACAGATCATGCATTATTTTCCTCTTGAACACCATCAAACCTTGAAGCTAAACAATCGGTCGCGAAAATGCTTCTAGTAACATACTCTCTATTAGGGGGTGGCAAACGGATCATGTCAGGTCGGGTTCGGGTTTTGGGTCAGCTAACCCCCAACCTGAACCTGATCCATTTAAGTTTTCGGATTGAAAACCCCAACCCGAACTTGATATTTTCAGGTTCGCGTCAACCCGAAAGTAACCTGATTTAACCTGATTTTTTTGTCAGGGTTTTAATTAGGTTATTTTGACCCGAAATTGACCTTATATTAACCGGGTTTGGGTCAACCCGGATGTAATCTAATTTGACTTGATTTTTAAATTACATTATCTAGCAAATCTAATTAAAGATTCGATATCAAAATATAGTACGAAGTATACTAAATAAATTACAAACAGAATTTAAAGCTACCAAAGTTAACAATTATTTATAGACTTTATATAAAAAAGATCTCAAAAAATGTATAAAATTACAAATCCAAATTCAAAAAAAGTTGAAGCAGGGGCGACGTATGTGGCATGTAAGGATTAAATCTGCAAAAAAAAAAAAAATTGAAAGCAAACATCAATAAAAAAAAAGGACTCAATCCCTACAATACAAAAATATAATAAACAACAATTAAAGCAAAAAAATACAATACCGTGTAAATAATGGTTTGAATAACAATTAAAACAACATCAAAATTAGGCTTTGATTACCCAAAAAGGAGTAAAAACAATATAAAACAAGCCAAAAAATGCTCAATCTAACAAAAAAAATGCTCACAAACTGAATAACAACATTCTCAGGTTCTAATTAAACGAGTTTACAAACATCTAACCCAACATCATAAATCCAAATTATATGAACAAGACAACAACAACAACTCACGTGCAAGATTGTATAAAAGCAATTAAATAAAAAATTATATGAACTTGACCATATAATTTATAAACAAAACAAAAAATCAACAACATCAAACAAAATATAAAAAAAAAACGAAAAAAAGGAAAATAAATTAAGAAGCAAAATACCTTGATTGATGAAGGAGAGGGTTAGAGGAATGCATCTCGTGGAGGACTGAAGGAGATTTGAGAACGGCTAAGAACTGAGGAGATTATGAGAGAGGAATTAAGAGGAAGCTGAGAACTGGAGAAAGAGAAAGGAGTGAGAAGCTGAGAATTGAAGAAAGAGAAAGGAGGCCTGAAAAGTGAAAACGGCTCATTTGAGAAAGAAAATGGGTGAGGAATGAGGATGTTAGGATTTTTTTTCTTTTTATATGGTGGCTTAGGTTTTTGGGCTTGGGCTTAGCTTAGACATCCGTATAGGTTTTTTTTTCCCTTCTTTTTTAATATATATATATATATATATATAGGGTCGGGATCCGGTGAGAACCACCCTTTATGTGAGAACCTTTATCTATGTGAGAACCAATACTAGCCATTAGATTATATGAAATTCAATGGCCGAGATTAAAAGACAAAGCTTGTTTAACTGCTTCAACTTTCTCATTTTTTCTCTCCGCAAAACCAAGCTCCATAATTATCAATGGCGACTGATTAATCCATTTGAAGGCTTGACAATTTTGATTTCATCTTCTTCTTCACAAGTACGAATAACTTCGATTAAAGAATTTGAAGGCTCGATAATTATCAAGGTTTGTTCAACTTTTCAATTTCGATATCACTCCTCTGAAAATTTCGAATTGCATCAATTATTAAGGCACTGTAAGTTAATTTAATTTTGATTTTCGTTGTTGTCCATGATTTAATTTGAATTTTAAATCAAGATTGTGCGATTTTGATTACAAAATATTGGGTTTCACATTTTTTAATTTCGATTTTAGTATTCTGGAAATTTTTGATATGAATGTTCTTAATTTTGGTTATCCGAGTTTGACTTTCTAATTTTTACTCAGTTTTTTTACTTTGAGCGTTCTCAATTTCATTGTCAGGGTAGAGATTGATCAACTAACTGAACAATTGGTAATTATCAATGAGTATGTTTTGAATATCCTGATAGTGCATACAAGGTGTTTGATAAAATGCTCGTTAGAAAATGCTTGGTAATTATTTGTCGTTTAAGGAATGCTATCATATGGAATTGAACAAGGGACTATTAATGCTGATAAAATGATTACTCGGCTTAAGGAGAATGTAGTTGGTAGAATTAGATGTTTGCCATGTTAAATGAGTGCTAAAAACAGAAGTTAGTTTGATAATATGCGATGTATAAGTTTCTTTAGCTGCTTGTTTTGATAATATGTGATGAGCAATGATAATAAGTTAGTTGTTCATTTGTCAAATGAGAAAATAATTAGTTGCTCATTTGTTAAATGAGCAAATACTTATTTGCTAATTTCACAAATGAGCATTGAGTTATTTGCTCATTTGACAAATAAGCATTCAATTATTTGCTCATTTGACAAAAGATCAAAGAATTGTTTGCTTATTTCACAAATGAGCATTGAGTTCTTTGGTCTGCTTGCCCGTGTACAAGCCCCACCCCCTTCTTCTTGGTCTGTTTCCTGCACACCAACTGTTTCGGGGTTTTCTGATGTCCTGCGGGAGAGTTACAATTCCGAGACTGGAACCGGACGCCTGTACCTGCAAAATAACGGAGACTCCTGAGAGCTCCGCCTCCAACGGTCAAGTTAGTACCTGATTAAGGAGTAATTAATACAGAAATTAAAGTAATGAGATCTCTCTAGGTGAGAGTGCTTAGTGTTGGTAATCTGCGTCGTAAGCGAGATTAGCCGGTTGTTAATAACTCTGTTCTTCTCTGCTTAATCTCTTGATTATTCGATCTTTTGATTAATGAGGATTAATCGAGTATTTATAGCCTTGGGAAGCGTGCAACTCTCTAGGTTTAAGGTAAACCTAGGGCTGACCGGGCCTCTAGACTGGACTGGGCCTTGATGGCCGGTTTTCCCATTTGGCATGGGCGGACACGTGGCGTGTCTTAAGTGGTCCGTGGAGGACGTATCTGTGATTGACACGTGGCAAGCTCCTGTTGGCCTTCGTGAAGGACACGTGGCGGAACCTGGTTGGTCCACTTGTCAGACGGTGATTGGTGGATAAAAATCCCCTAATCATTTGCCCCTCACAGGTGGCACGTGACTGGTCACGGGTCGCCTGTGACAGATGTCGCACGGTGACAGGCGACGGCCTGTTACAGGTGTCACCTTGCAAACGGCCGAGAGATTTTCCCGCCCAAATTTTGAATTTGGAAGCGACCCTTCGCCTTCTCACTTTGCTTATAAAAGGAAGTGCTGACTTCGGTCATTTTCACATTTGAGAACTTTGCGAGAACATTCGGACCCCTGAACTTGCTCTGACATTTCGGACTTTTTCTGCCTACCGCCTGTTCTGACAAGCCGACTGACCCGAACTTTCAGGACTTCATCAACCGTCACTCGTTCAGGTAACTCAGTTCTCTTACTCTTAATTTTCTTTTTATTTTTTGAAATGGCACCATGGAAGCACACGACACGCCCTAAGTTAGTGATCAGCCGGTCACCGGGGACGGCTGAATCTAGGACTAGGAGTGCCGCCTGCCCTTTTCTGGACCCATCTTTGCTCTTTATACAAAGTCCGACTGTATCTGTGTCTATGCAGAACGTGATGGCCAGAACAAAAAAGACTGCTATGATATCAAACTCAGACGGCTCCTCCCAAAGGGTGCTCCTTAGTGAAACATCTGACCAGGCGCCAGATGTAGAACGAGACGACTGTCAAGCTGACAGTTCTGAGAGAGGGGCCAAGGTGTTCCCTTCCCATCTTACCGTGGACATGTCTAATTTTCCTTCTGCTCCTTCTAAGGGAGAGGAGGCGGGCCCCTCTAGGAAAGGGGAGGAGTCGTCCTCTTCGGACTCGTCAGGGGACGAGTCCGAATCCAGCTCTTCTGGCCACAGTTCTCCTGGCTCAGAAGAAAAACATAGCCGCCTACAAGAGGCGAGACGTTCTCATGCAGTTGAGAAGGGGGATAA